ATGGGCTGAATAGGGCCCAACCCCAGTTGCATCCCGTTTTCCGGAATTACCTCTTCTCTCTCTCTGTCTCTCTCTCTCTAAAACAAAAAGAGCAGAAACCATCGCCGTCTCTCAGCCACTTCTCCCTTCCCTGCGCTTCTCCTTCAAGACTTCGCAGGTATTGGGCGACTTCTCCAGCCTGCTTGTCTTTACTGATTTTTTTTGTGTATCATCGTTCCCAATACGCAAGATTCGCGTTTCTGACTGCTACTTTGGTATTTACTTGCCTGACATTCAATCACATAGTCCAGCAGGGACTGAACTGTAACAACATTTTTAACATTCTATTCAGCGCCTTCATTCACCTTTTCTCTCCCATTTCATCTGCCCGTTACGTTGTTTTAATCGCCTCCACGACTCTCTGCTGATGCCTCTGTGTTGAAAGCTGCTTATTTTGCAACTATCTAGTTTATTTGCTCCTAAATTTTAAGTAGATGCTCTTTGCTAGTTTCTTACAATTTTTTTTTCTCACTCACCTTGTGTCTTGCATCTTCATCTGTTTGTTACATTTGATTAATCCCTTCAGGAGCCTGCCTTTTTCTTAATAGTGGCTGACTTTGGTTGCAATTATATGGTGTTGGTTTATTTGCTCTTTTTTCTGAGTGTATACTTAATTTAAACAATTCAATCATCCGAAAATATGAGTTTTAAATAAATTTAGTTTTATCTGTTTAGGATTATTTTTCTTAACGGTAATTTATTATTCACTTTCTTGATTGAATGTGAGGGAGACAAGAGGCTGGCCTAGATAATTTTTTTTGGGAAAAATTATCTTTGTTTTATATAATTGCATATGAGATGATTTTTGTTAGGCGTTCCTATTGTTCTTATGCTTCCCTTTTGCATGTTGTTTGTAGTAGGAGCTAGCAATGGCGGGAAAATCAAACAAGGGGAGGAACCGGAGAGGGTCCAATAATGTTGTTAGTTCCTCAGAACCAGCGGCATCTGATGCTCCAATGAAAGAGAACTTAGGTCCAGAAGAGTCATCCAAAGCTGAGGTCAGTGGTAATAGGGTGGTAACCGGATCAATTAATTCTGAGTCAGCGCTAAAGCAATCAGAAAATGGAAATTCTGAGAACCAGGCTAAACAAGGTGATCTTAATTTTTCAGATAATATTTCTTTTATAACATCCTGATGTTTTAATGTTGCATTGGTTAATATCTTTGTAAGTTTACAAGTCTGCAAAAGGAATAAAGTTCTCTCTTAGTATTGTTTCTTTTAATAATCTAGCATTTATGAGTAGTTGTAATTTCTAAGCAATTTGCAGTGGCTTGTGCATGCACTTTGACATGAAAATTTCTAGATTAATATATCCATAAGCTTTGCCATTACTTTTGTATCTCCCCACCCATTAAGAAATGGATCTTTAAATTGTAAATGGAAAAGAGAAGGAGAGGGAAATCACAAGCAAAACAAAATTTAAGATGTTATAATACTTATCTTTATGGTAGGGTTAGAAAAAATAAAAGGAAAGAGTGGATATGCCTCAGAATATATTGTTTAGTTTATTTAGTTACTTATATTATACTAATATCTTTGAGTGATTTCATTTCGATTCCATTTTCTTCTCCCTCTCTTAGAATCTTTTACCTAAATATAACACAATAAGTTTTTCTTAGGAGGAAAAATCCACCATGATAACTAAATTCTAGGGATGATGGAGGTTTTTGGTAAGATAAGATGTAAAATATTGACCATAATGTCTCTTTTATTAATTTAAAATCTGAAACTATATCTTTTTTAAGGTTAATGAGCCAATGAGATGGTTGCTGCTAATGCATAAATCCTCACTGTTCTTTTCCTCTGAGTAAAGGAAAATTGCTTTATAATTATCTGAAAATGTAGTTGTCTGACCTACAAAACTTACTCTAGCATATCATATTTCAGAAAATATCGTCTACCACATTTCCTTTTCTCCAGCCAACCTATGTGCTTGCTATAGCTATGCTTCTTGTAACAATCAACAATGAAAAACCTGGAATAGTATTGAATTACTGATAAATGAGTAAAACCTTAATGAAATTGGATCAGATAAGAATGTAAAGTGAAGCATAAGATATATCTTGAGAGCATAATGAGTGCATGGAAGACCACAAATGTCCTTCCTTTGAAACAAAATGAAATTTGCATGCTCCCCCTTCTGTTGATGTATACATGATTTTTCTCCACTTTTCATGTACTTTTGACTTAAGTCACCATGCTAGACACACACACACACACACACACACACACACACACACACACACACACATATATATATAAAGTGCCAATTGTCACAAGGTAATTGATAATGCTATGGCTCTTTTTGAGACCCTTCTCTCACATAGTGGTGGGACCTGCCTCACCTCACAGTCTGTGAACATAGAGTTGGAAGACTTTGTAGATAGAACAATAAGAAAGATGTAAATCATAGACTCTGAACTTACTAAAACTTGTAATTTGATAAATCATTGAAACTATAGGGCTGCACCATGGGTGTCAAAGATTGTGCTTAATGATATGCAGTCAAAAGGATCACATTTACGTAATAGATGTGTGCCTTTCTGCACAAGCTTCCTGCTGTTTGCTTAACAATATGTGTTATTGTGACCAGCAATCTGTTTCGCCCTGTAATTTCTGTGTATCAGGTGCATTTTCACGTAGATTTCTTATTTGATTGCTCCTGTTTATTTTTTATTTTTTATTATTAAAAAATCTGCAATCCTTCAACCAAATTTATTGTTGTCAATCCCATGAAAGGAAGAGAATCAGCAATTCTCAATTTAAAAATTGTTAGCTCACTGCTTTGGTGCTGTAACTAGAAGTCTCCTTGAACTCCTTGTCTTTTAATGTAATTTCCCTTTCATTCTTTCCCCACTATCAGACAGAAACTAGGTTATCTCATGCTAAAAGAAGCTTTTTCCAGAGCATATCTGCTTTACTTATCCTGAAGTTTATTGACTAGAGCTATGTAATTCCTTTGTGATTACTTTACTTTGATGCGTGTCTAATCTAGGATTCTTGGAATACAGGCGAAATTCATCTTTATCCAGTTTCTGTCAAAACACAAGGCGGTGAGAAGCTTGAGCTGCAGGTAAAGCTAACTAATTTTCAGTGCCTTGATTCTTGCAATCAGTCCTTTGTAACTATGCTTTAATTGTTTACAGAATGAAAACCCCCAACAACTGGTGATTTTATCTTTTCACTATGTCATATATTTGATTCAACACCAAATATCTTTACACTGTATTTGATTGTCAACTTTTTAAGTTGTAAAACTGTTGACTGCTGTTGAAACTCTCTTTTCCCTGTTATAGTGGTAAAACTTTCTGGACTTTCCTGCCCATAATTATTTACATAATAATTCTGTGTTTCATCTACTTAAAAAGGTATTAGTCTAGTTTCATGTTTTCATATGCTTCTTAAATTCATCAAGCTGAGGAATTCTGTAATTGATTTTTACTCACAGTTAAGCCCTGGAGATTCTGTTATGGACGTGAGACAATTCCTTCTTGATGCTCCAGAGACCTGTTTTTTCACATGCTATGATTTATTACTGCACACAAAAGATGGCTTGGTTCATCAACTCGAAGATTACAATGAAATTTCTGAGGTTGCTGACATTACAACTGGTGATTGTTCCTTAGAGATGGTTGCTGGTATGTTGCCTTTCTATTGCTTTAGTGTCTTTGTTAGTGACCTGTGCAGACACAGTAATTACTGCTTCTCACACTTGCTCTTTCTCTTTTGCATTCAGACGCCATGTATATATAATAAGTATTTTTAATACATAGAACAGTTGCAGGAAGTGAGAAGTCTGTGTATATTTGAATATCTTGTGTTTCTAATATGCGCATATATAATAATTTATTCATTATGTGTTTAATCTAACTCAAAAACAATTATTGCAGCATTATATGATGATAGATCCATCAGGGCTCATATCCATCGCACAAGAGAACTGCTTTCTCTTTCCACACTGCATTCCTCACTATCCACATCACTTGCTTTACAGCATGAGGCTGGGAAAAGCACACCTGCAAATTCAGGAGGTTTTGGATTTTTAAATCTGCGGTTTCTTCTCCATTGCTATATGTTTTGTTAAATGCTATATCTAAGACTGCTTTACATCTTGGAGGAAAGTTGCAGCAACTTGATTTTGGAATTTTTACTATGACCTAGATTCTACAAAAACTGAGGTTGCAGAGCGTGTCAATTTGGGATTCATGGATGATGTGACCGGTTCACTTACGAATTTGTTGTCTTCACCTTCTAAAGAAATTAAATGCATGGAGAGTGTAGTATTCTCTTCTTTTAATCCTCCTCCGAGCTATAGAAGGTCAGCTTTCTTATACTTCAGGAACTTACCAATACTTGCAGATTGGTTATGGTTTTGTCTGCAGAAGTCTTACAGCAACAGTGCATGTAATTCATGTTGCTTCCAGGCTTGTTGGAGATTTGGTTTATCTTGATGTGGTAACATTGGAAGGAAATAAATTTTGTATCACGGGAACAACAAGAATGTTTTATGTCAACTCAAGCACAGGGGATATCCTTGACCCAAGGCCAACTAAAGCTGCTTCTGAATCAGTTACTCTTATTGGACTCTTGCAGAAGATCAGCCCCAAGTTCAAGAAAGGTAACAAAGCATGACTAAAGCATCTTTAGTTCTGTTATCTCAATTAGTAACAAAGCATGATTAGAACATCCTTAGTTATTTGAATAATCTAAAATACAAAGTATGCATTGCATCAAGAACAAATTACATGAATTTCCTGGAAGGTTTGTTTGGTTTGGCAAAAATATGAAAACCTTATGATTATTATTATTTTTTTAATGTCGGCATAGTCCAATCAGCCTCCTGTCATAACCATATCTTAGTAGAGCTTCACAAAAAGATATTAACTAGAATTTTTCTATTCCCAAAAAAAAAAAAAACTTTGTATTGCCTTTCCTCTCCTTAATAATAATAATAATAATAATGTTGTAACTAAAACATGGTTTGACTATATTTAACTCGGGTGGAATAATCATTTCCTAATCAGTAGTTAGGCGGGAATAAATTATGATCATTTGGTGACGCAGTTTGGGTAGCAACAAGCTGCTGCCCTATGTCTGTGGGCCAGTAGGCCTGTCTGCCGGGGTGGCAAGCAGTTTGATGGCTGGGTGTAATCTATGACTTAAAAAACACAGAAATTGGTTTGAAGAAAAATAAGATCTAAAAGGCCATAGCTTTGTTCATAAAAATGTTAAAAAAATTAATTTTGAAATGAAATATATTGAAGAATCTGAGCCAATATTCTGTATTTTGAAGACGCAACTTTGTTAGATCTTTTAAAATACTGAGAAGATTATCTAGCAAATAATATCCTTATATTTGTCTTTTTTGATATTGAAGCATTTCGCGAAATTTTGGAGCAGAAGGCATCTGCGCACCCTTTCGAGAATGTGCAGTCTCTGTTACCTCCAAATTCATGGCTTGGACTGTACCCTATTCGTGGTAAGTGTGCTATCCAGGGGCTTTGATTGATGTTCTGCTCTGGATATCTAATGGACTTCTCTGTATTTTTGTTGGGAAGCATGGGGATTTTTTTTTTATTTTTATTTTTTTTTATTTTTTAAAACCTCATAAGTTCACGAAAAGTGCAAAAAGTTGAAAAAATCTCTATCTCCCTCTCAATTTACAGATTGCAAGCTTGTTAGCTTGATTTAAGAGCTCTGACTTGGCTGCTCAGCCTCTAAGATCTCAAGTTGATACCCCACTTCATGTTTATTGGCTTTCTCAGTTGATATTATTAGGATGTACTCTCTTTGCAGTTATAGCCTGTTCAATAAAAATGCAGTTCTGGAGCTAATAAATTTGATAGGCATGGTACCTTATGCTTCCATGTTGCATGCTGCATCCAGCCATCCGTTGAGTGTTCCTCGATTCCTTTCTTTATAGGTCTTTTAATCAAGCTTGGTTTTAATTAACTGTGCTGTAATCTCTTTGTTAACATGTTTGATGCTTGCTCACTGTTACACTAATCTGTTATTAAGGTTGTAGAACAAGATACATAATTCTCAGAAACTGTCATTAGTAATCTCTCTCTTGGTTTCAGATCACAAGCGTGATGCAGCCAGAGCAGAGAATGCACTCACTCTTTCCTTTGGAAGTGAGCTGATCGGTATGCAAAGGGATTGGAATGAAGAACTGCAGTCCTGTCGAGAGTTTCCCCACACAACTCCTCAAGAAAGGTTTATTATATCATCAGTTTTTATAACTTTCTACAGTTATGAATGATGAGTGCTGGGAGGGGTGGGAAATTTGGTGGTTAGGCATTTCCTCAGTTACTTACGTGGAGATTTCTTTGCAGGATCTTGCGAGACAGGGCTTTATACAAAGTGACTTCTGATTTTGTTGATGCAGCCATTAATGGTGCTATTGGAGTCATCAGCAGATGTATACCACCAATTAATCCAACCGATCCAGAATGCTTTCACATGTCAGTACAACCTGGAAAAAGATCCATGCAATTTTTGACTCATCAATTCATTAAGCATTGGTTGCAGGACATGGTTTTTTTAGTTTTCTTTTCTGGTGGTGGATAACTCAATGAACAGAAAACCATAGAGATTGTTTATTTGGTGTAAATGCTGAAAACATTTGTTATCTTTGGGCTTTCACATAATCTTGTTGGTATCTGTGATGAGAAACGTATCCTTCTTTACATGTAATATGCCTATTGTACCTATGATTAAATGAATTGAACACCTTTCATATGCTTCTTGTTTGTATTGTTCCTTCACTGGTGATATACTGATGTACAATGCCTTTTCTTCATGGTATTTGGGATGTTGTGCTGTCTTTTTTAGGAGTATGCCAAATTGTCTTAGCATTATTATTATTCAATCAATGCATTGGGACTTCGGCTTATTTGTTCTCTTGTATTTGTTTATTTAATTTTTCTGTGTTTTCTGATTGCGTGCTGGTTGCACTCAGTGGCTTGCTTTACATGGTATCTCTTAATATTTGATTACAGTTTTTGTGTGTATGGGAGTTTGTCTTGGCAATGACGCTAACTTGTCTTTCAATGGGATGCCATTATTGCTTCTAAAGTATGTCAACTAGATCCTTTCTGATATAATATTTTGGTCAATAGCTAGCATATATGTATATAGCATGTTGAGTTTTGCATGCATGTTGATATATTTGCAGGTTGGGTCTTTGTGTCCTATGCTCCTTGTACATGCAGCTACTTTGGATTTTACAGCTTTTGATGTTCTAATTTCTGTTATCTAGGTATGTGCACAACAATATATTCTTCAGTTTTGCTGTGGATGCGGACAGTGAGCAGCTTTCCAGAAAGCACCAAACAGACACTAGTTCAAAGACTGAGAGCACGGGCTCATCACTGAATTCATCTGATAAGAAGTCATTGCATGGAGCTGCAAAAGTTTCAAGTGGGGCCAAAAGCAATGGCTTATCTGCAGAGTATCTTGACAGTGGCATGGATTTATCTTCTGAGGTTCCTGCTGAGACACAGATGGTTGAAAGTGAGCAAGCCACATATGCATCTGCGAACAATGATCTGAAAGGCACAAAAGCATACCAAGAAGCTGATGTGCCTGGGCTGTATAATCTTGCTATGGCAATTATTGACTACAGGGGTCACAGAGTAGTGGCACAGGTTTGTATTTTAATCAAAGTGTGTGTTTCTGACCAAGTGCTTGTTGTTTTAACTGAAATCATGTTCATCAACTAAAGTGGTCGGAGTGATGCAAATGTGGTCTTAACTTGAACTTTGTTTTTTCTTCATTCTTATTTAAATAATTTTATGATAAAAATTTAGTATTAATGTGCTTTATACAATATAAGCTTGTAAAGCTATTGTTAGGCTGTGCTGTCTGGCTGATAATTACTGTACATTGACATTGACTCTCAAACTTCGATGAGTAGGTTTTAACAGCTAATTAATTTGCTGCCTGCCATGTGAAGTTTTTATTTTTAGCAAAAAAAAAAACTTTTGACTATTTGAGCGCAAGTTTGTTATTTAGTAGATATTGATTATTTTCTGTTTTAAATGTTTTTTTCTGTGCATAGTTTAGTCTTGGAAGATATTTTTCTTATTAATCTTTCATGTGCCTTCTGTATCTGTGTGTTGTAGAGTGTTCTACCGGCATCCTTCAAGGTGATAAATCAGACTCCCTTCTATATGGTTCTGTTTGCAATGGGAAAAAGATCTGTTGGAGTGAAGATTTTCATTTGAAGGTTAGAATGGATAAGTATTTTGATTTGTTACACTGTCTGCACCTCTTTTAGTTATTTTATAATTTAAATCCTCTTAGCTTTTTCTATCTAGAGTGTGCAGTTGTTTTCTCTTAAGACGATGGGTATGGTAGGCATTCCACAGAAAAATTGTGTCCTTATCTAGAATTGTTTAGAGTATTGTGCACAGAATTGTGTCTTTATTAGATGTGTTCCATTAAATTGCTTTTTTGTTATTAAAAAAATGGATAGCAGAGGGGCATTTTTCATTCCTGGTTGCTTTGAGTTTTAAGCCTTGTGTACCTGTAGGTGCTGGAGGCTGCGAAACGCCTTCATTTGAAGGAACATACAGTTTTTGATGGATCTGGCAATGTTTACAAATTAGCTGCACCAGTAGAATGCAAGGGTATTGTTGGTAGTGATGACAGGTAAGTGGTATACTTAGTTTGTTCATCATCTGTTTTTGTATTTCTTCTTATGCAGTTCAGTAGTTGTTTTTTTTTCATTCTGTTACTGCATGCCTATTTCTTCTGCAAATTTTCAAATTTGAAAAAGCTCTGTATTGGCCTTTAAAGTGTTGCATGAAGTTGGTCTTCTTTTGCTTTTTGTTTTGTTTTGTTGTTTCCTGTGTGGCTGTTTCAGTGTCTTGTTCTCATATTCTTCTAATTCATAAACGTAAAGGCAGAACTGGGAATGGGCAAGGCTTATTAATGTTTCTTAATTTCTATATTTTTTCTTGTACGGGTATTATTTTGTTAACAATGAATCAAAGGAATTTTGTGCATATTATGGAGGCAAATTTTATTATGAGACATGTTTAATGACTTTTTGATCGTGCAAACAAGTTGGATTGCTTATTCTGCACATATTTTTGTATGTCTAAATGGTTACTTGTTTTGCATCATAGAAATCAAATGCAATCTTTTTTTTTTTTTTTTTTTTTTAAAGTGTCTCTGTAACTTTATAATGCACAAAATTGTAATCCAACATCTAACTAAAGCTGTATGTGCATTAATTTTTGTAATGTTCTAACACTTCATTTAACTGTGTGTGGAGTTCAGGCATTATCTGTTGGACTTGATGAGAGTCACTCCTCGGGATGCAAATTATAATGGACCAGGGTCCAGATTTTTTATATTGAGACCTGAACTAATATCTGCCTTTTGTCAGGTAAGTGTACTTTGATCTTATGATAACATTATTTTTAAACCTCTTTTGTGGGTTTTCCTTTTGTAAAATTGATATTGGCTTGTTATGTGAAGGCTAAAGTAGCTGAGAGATCAAAAAGTAGTGGCCAACAAGAAGAGGATCTTCCTGGAGCTGATGATTCTCCAAATACTGATAGTGCTGAAGAAAAGGTGCCATCCAATGCAAATGCTGTGCCAGCATCTTTGGACACCCAGGTAACTTCTTGTTCCTTCGAGCTATTTCTGGTAAAGTGGTGGTTTTGAACTTTAATATAGCATAAAAGGCATTTTTAGGATGAATTGGGGCATGATAGCACATAGGAACCTTTTCCTTTATTATCTCCTTCTTTGAAATAATTCTGCAATGCATGTCGATTAACCTTAGAATTATACAATGGTTATGTTTAGTTGCTTATGGACATATCTATCTAATATTTATACATTTGAGTATTTGTTGCAATTTTCTTGCATGGAATTTGGCATGACTTGGACTGTACCATAGAGCAATATATATGTTTGTGTATACCCCCTGCTTTGATGCCTAGAGACTGCACCATGAGGAACAAGAGCAAGTTTGAAATATCACAGAAGATCTCTAAACGTTTCTGTTAAATATTGTTATAAACTGACAATGTGGCAATACATCTGAAAAGGTGAAATATCTTGTGATATTTGTAAGATACTGAAGAAAAATTGGTCATTGTACGGCATTGCATTTCCTTCCCTCCTTTTATTCTCGGCCTAGATTTTGAAATCATGTAGTAATATAGTATTTCAAATTTTCAAGCTCTGGGTTACCCTTTTTTTTTTTTTTTTTTTTTTTTTTTGAAATTTCACTTTAATTGTTGTATGTATTTATAGACTCGTTGTTTCTTAAAATGACAATTGTATCTTTTCTCTGAGTCAGTAATTCACAATCCTTGGCATTGCAATACTGCCAATGGAAAAATGAGAAATGTTTAAAATCTATGAGCTGGTTGGATCTCTTTTTCTATACTATATTGAAGGACTTAGCTTCATACACCACTAATGATTGGCTTTAATAGCTGGCAGTTATATATAATCTTGTACATTTTGCAAATCATCTGGTTCTTGCTACTTTTGAAAGAAAATTATAAGTTGCAAGTTCTTAAAGGTTTGATAGGTTTTAAGAATTCTAATTATGCTTTTGTTGCTTTGGCTTCTTAATTTAAATAAATGCATAATTTATTGACGATTAAAAGGTTTAAATTTAAGGTCAAATATAATTAGTATTTAACCATATTCATCCTTTTTTCTTCTTGAGTACAGGAAGTGATAGAGTATAACTTGTAAATTTGATACCTGTATTTTTCTATCCTTTTTTTTTTTTTTTTTTTAACTGAGTTGTTGAACATGCATATAAGTTCTGTCCAAATAAGTTGTTTTTCCTTTTTCTGATATTATTAGTTTTCTCAGGACGTGGAAAGCCATGCTAAACATGAAGCTGTCCATGAATGTGGTTCTGGACCTGCAGGGAATGGAGAAGTATATGAGGAAATATCTTTTAATCCTAATGTCTTCACGGAGTTCAAATTAGCTGGAAGTGAAGAAGTAAGTTCTATATATTTATGTAGGGAGTCTTGCCTTTTAGCCAAGGATATGATTATCTGCACTGCATATTTTGCTACCATTTTATTGGATAATCTATCAGGAGATTGCTGCTGATGAAGATGATGTCAGGAAAGCAAGTCTGTATCTTAAGGATGTTGTGCTTCCAAAGTTCATTCAAGATCTTTGTACGCTTGAAGTATCACCCATGGATGGCCAGACATTGACTGATGCACTTCATGCTCACGGAATTAATGTCCGTTATATAGGAAAAGTAAGTTAGGTTTTTGATTTTCTGACAAATAACTTGTTGAAAAGATAAACTCTTTTCCTAGCTAGAATTATAGACGTAATTGTTGGAGTTTGAACAAAAAGCCAATCTCACCCTGAATGTTTTACTGTTGGAATGCTTCAATTGCGTGTTCAGGTTGCTGAAGGGACCAAACACTTGCCTCATTTGTGGGATCTCTTTTCCAATGAGATTGTGGTCAGATCAGCAAAGCACATCCTTAAGGTGAATTCAGTTTCACTTCAATATCTACTTAAGTGATATCCTGAAAGGTTTTATTAACAAGCTTTCATTTAGCATATAAATATGGGGGTGATTAGTCAAAATGTGAAATTTTATGTTTAGTTGAGTAACTGAAGTCTTCCTTATGATATATAGAACTGTGTTTGCCTTACCTTGTTTATCAATTGCAAATCCAATTTTACTTTATTGGTAGTGATATGAGTCACATGACTAGGCAGCTAGTTGAAGTATGCAACAAGCATAGATCTTTATTATTGTCATGGTTCAAATGGCAGTTAAGCAGGCTAAGTTCTACATTCTGTTCCTTTTTATGGCTTTTGGTAATTAATCGAGCCTAAGATTTTGTGTTGTTCCTCTATCTCCTCAAATCTTTGTGACGAAAAGATAATGTGATATATTGAAGGGGGTATTCTTGTCTTCCTCTTCTCTTCATACTTGATTTCTTGAGGCGGCCATTCAAAAATCTGTACTTTCTGCTGCTGACGTTGCCCCTTGAAGGTTTCAATTTACCCTTGGTATTGCCAATTTACCTGCTCTTAGGGACTGGGTTTGTTAGTTTAACTAACATGCCTCATGTATAACAAAATTTGCTTACTCGGCAACCTATTTTTTGTATTGCCTTTTTCTTTCTCTTTGTGGTAATAACTGTAATGTGCAAGGATTTGTGGTTGAGCCAGTGTTCAATTAAGGGCTCCTGTTATTTCAATGTGAAACTATCCTTGAAAAGAAGAGGGGTTCCTCTCTATTTTTTCTTCTCAATTGTGCTTTTCTTTTTGGTTGAGACAAGCATGGTACATATTGTCACCTATTTTTATCTGTCATTTATCAAAGTTAGTTAAATCCTTCAACTGTGATCCCTTTTATTCATTGGTAATTTGCATATGAATTGTTTCAAAGTTTTCTTTTGGTGAAATAAGCAGAGTGATTTGTAGTACACTCAAAAGAATGGTTGACACCTAATTCTCATTTAGAGCTCATAAGTAGTGTAATAATTTCCTTTGACTGCTTTGGTTTTGCAGGATGTGCTGAGAGATTCAGAGGATCACGATCTTGCTCCTACGGTTTCACACTTTTTCAACTGCTTCTTTGGAAATTGCCAAGCTGTAGCCATGAAAGGTTCTTCTAACAGTATACAGTCCAGAACCCAAAGGAAGGTATACTGATATGGGTTTCAGTGTTTTTTATTTTTTTTATTTTTTTTTATTTTTAATGTGTGTGTGTGTGACTTCTGTTAGTTCTAGATGTCAGGGTGCTTTATGCCCGGCCTTTGGTATCTTCTGTTTCTGGAATGAGTATGTTTATAGAAAAATTTAGTGACTCCATATGGATAATATAAACAATTATTGGAACTACAGTTCTTTTTAATACTTAATTCTTTTCATTCGTTTTTTCATTTCATTTTTTCATTTGGGGTCTATTACTGCATTGATTTTATGATTGTAACATTGATCACATGGTAAATTTGTCTCATGAGAATCGAAAAGAAAATTGATGTGCTTTGGACCTACAGGATCACAGTGGCCATCAAGCTTCTGGTAAATCATCTAGGGGCCAGGGACGAAAAGATGGGGGATCTGCCAGAATGAAACAATCATCATATTTGAGTATTACATCTGATAGTTTGTGGTCTGATCTTCTAGAATTTACAAGAATCAAGTATCAGGTAGTTCACAAATATAAATGAGTTCATTCCTGAGCTTGTGCAATAGATGTTTTATGTCACTTTGTGCAAGTTTGTGATGGGTTTTAATTCTCCTTTCTCAGTTTGAGTTGCCAGAGGATGCGAGATCACGGGTAAAGAAAATTTCCGTTGTTCGCAACCTTTGTCAAAAGGTACCTTTTGCTTGCTCTCAACCTCTTTTCCTGACTTTTCAGCATAGAAATCCATTTTCCTCCTCTATGTTTTAATTTATTTCTGCTCAATCATGAGGATTAATTTCATCAAATTGAAACTTCTTTTGTTTGTTTCTTTATGTTCTTTTCACTTCATACTAGGCGTGTTCTCTCGCAGTTAAGAGTCCTTAACAGTAATCTCTCTACAGTTATTAATATCCTATTAAATATGATGGTTCCTTCTGATTGGCAGTTCTATAATCTCATGCAGTCATCATCTTGTTTCTCAATGATGCCTTAACATCTAAGAGTTGGGAGTTAAGATTGTTTTAAGATAGGTTTTGTTTCATTTAAACGTAATTTTCGATAGGAATGCAAGGGCACAAATTACAGCAGCAGCATAAGTGGCAGCATAATTACGTGTACAAGAACCTCATTTGGCTCTCTGTTAAATCTGGATTTTTGCCTAACTAATTTTCTAGCCCTTGGTTCATTCAGTGCCACTACTGTTAAAGGATTGTAGATAGCATTTCTCTAAATGTGTGAATAGTGGCTTGATCTTGGTGCATGCTGTTTCGAGGATATTGCTAGTTGCTACTGTTATAAGTGAAACCGAGTTCGTCATAGCAAGTTCCTGCAGCTGGAAGTTAGAATCAACTGCTTTTGGTCTTTGTCAATTTCTTTTGTTTTTCTTTTCTTTTTCCCCCTCCATTGATTTCAGATTTTGCATGACTTTGTGCTTCAAGTCCATGCTTCCATACCAGGATTCTTCTTATTTATGAGTCTTTTTATTTATGAGTCTTTCATAGCCATTAAATCCAAGCGAAACTAGGAAACTGTTTTGAGCTCGGTGGAAAGAAACTTCCTTTAGAAGCAGTGATTAGTTAATTGATTAGGGGCTCCTTCTTAATTCTAAGTTATAAGTTTTATTGGTATTGTCAAGCAGCTTGGAGAGTCAAAAATGGACCAAATTCTGGGAAAAATACTAGTAAATAAAGGCCATGAGTGCGAGTATCGTTGCAGTGGTAGCTTATTAAGTGTTTCTTGAGAAAGATGGCAATAGAACTGAGAAAAGTTTTGGCATGAATGTTTTATAGAGGATCTAGGCTGATAACTAGTAGCAAGGGACGATGTGCTATTCCATATTTTCAGTTAGATCTAATTGTATTAGTGGAAAAGCTTTTCCATCAGGAAGAATATCAGGATTTGCATTTGAATATTTGAGATGCTTAGTTGCCCATGAATTCTTGCTTGAGTTGGGGAGAGGAAGGGAGAATAAGAAGGAAAAAGATTTTGGAGCAATGAACTGGTGCCTGAAAATATGGTGCTGCATCACGAAATAGTGGCTTCTGCTTTGCATTATTTTGGTTTTGAGAAAATTACATTATTAACTCCTCTGAAGACTTACTATCAATTGTAGAAATTGATAGTATTTACTGATATCTAGGATTCTAGATTTGCTATAAGTATTTTGTTTCTTCATTTTTCTACGAAACATTAAACCCCTCTTCTTGCTTGCAAAAACAGAATTATTCAGTTTTGTATAAAAAGTGGATATTTTACTTTCATTTTGTTTTTCTTTGCAATTTTTTTTTTTAATTTGTCATAATGAGTTAAGAGTTTATGGGTTCTAATAGTTAATGGTTTATAAGCTAACTTTATACATACATACATATATATATATATATATATATATATATATAGAGAGAGAGAGAGAGAGAGAGAGAGAGAGAGAGAGAGGAAAGTAAAACAAATGACTAATTCAAATTTTATCCCACTTGGTATGATTCTCTCCCAAAAGCCATTAGAACTCTTTAAGAATTCCCTGGTGAGCCATAATATATTTATTTATTGATATCAGATGGCTACATAGTAATATCTGACCAAGCATAAATAGAGCATCAGAGCATGGCCTCGCCATAAGTAATAATTCTAATATTAGTCCTGACAACATTGATCTTGACACTTCATTATGAAATACTGCAAATTGATTGTCACTAACATTGAACTTTGAAACAGACACTTCAGTTAAAAATTTTGGCATTTCAGACTACACAAAATTGGTTCCAAGTTAGTTTTACTCGTGAATATTATAGTTAGTAGGCATGTATAAGCTACAAGTTCTATGAAGTTTATCATGGCAGAAGGTATGAATTATTGCTTTCCAATATTCTCGATTCTGTTTATTTTCACTGTGCTTGGATAACACTTATTCAATCTGAAAAATGATATTTTCCATTGAGTTTGTTCTTTAATTTGACTTTTGTATTTGCCACCCTCACCAGGTAGGCATAACCATTGCAGCCCGGAAATATGATCTTGATGTCATGGCACCTTTCCAAACATCAGATATTTTGAATCTCCAACCTGTAGTTAAGCACTCTATTCCAGTATGTTCTGCAGCTAAGGATCTTGTGGAAACAGGAAAGGTTCAGTTGGCTGAGGTATGAATGCACTCTATCTTAAACTTGCTAGAATTATCCAAGAATGAATAAATTCGTGAAGATAATCAAAAGTAGTTGGTGAGAAATTAAAGACAGATTCAAAGTTCTATCCTTGGATAAAAAGAATCTCAGACATTTATACAATTCCTTTACAGAAATGTGTGCTATTTTATAGATGAAATCCAAACTTATTAATAGTGGAGATGAATACTGTCTGGGATTGGGGAAAAATGAGATCAGGCATTTCTTGAATTCGTCTGTAAAATATATATTTTTTGGTTTTCTGTTCTGTTCAGTTCTGTTTTTGTGTTTTGTATTTGTTTCTTTTAGGATTCCTTTGAGCAGGGGCTTATCATGCGTGTAATCAATATAGATTTGTGATTCCATAGCTGACCAATTGCTTTACACTTTGCTTCAGGGGTTGCTTAGTGAAGCCTATGCTTTGTTTTCTGAAGCATTCACAATTCTTCAGCAGGTATTTTCTTCAATTCTTTTTCCTCTTGATTTCACTTCTCATATCAAGATTAGCAATTGATATTGTGAGGGAATACAGGTGACTGGTCCAATGCATCGGGAGGTTGCCAACTGCTGTCGGTAATTGTCATCTATGACCTACCTGATCTTTTAAATTTATGCCTTCTGTTTTCGAATTTCAAAATTCTTCTAGCCACTACCCCTTTGCATTTTGGTGTCTGATTGTATTTAATGCTATTTTTTCTGTTAACTGATGCAACCAAGAAAGCACATTTTATAGCACCAGCCTATTTATTAGGCAATTTTTCTGGAACTGGAAAGGTCTAGTTAATTTATTGGTGCTAGGTTATTTTTATTTTTGTCGCATATTACTGGGAGACGGAGGAACAAGTTTTCAAGAGTGATTGCATATTATTTCAAATTGTTTAATTTATCTGATCGAACAATTCTTGAAATTTCATGTAGAATGTATGCTTGTAGAACTGACATTGCGGGTGTGTGTTTGTTTGTTTGTTTTCCCCTCTTCTCAGCTACCTTGCAATGGTTTTATATCATGCGGGAGATATGGCTGGAGCAATAATGCAACAGCACAAGGAACTCATTATAAATGAACGATGTCTTGGCCTGGACCATCCTGATACTGCTCACAGGCAGGAATTCTTTACCTTCATATTCTTCATTCTCCTGGGTGTCTCAACACTGCTATGTTTGGTGAAAGTAACTGGAAATGTTAAATCTTTTTGATTTTCAATGTCTGAAAAGTTCTAATTATCCTTATGGGAAGGATTCATCATGAAAGATGACATTGTATAGTCATTAAACATGCCCGACTAAAGAATAAACAGTACTTATTTCATGTATGTAACAAGATTTGAAACTATGTTTATTCTACACTGTTTTGAATTGTGTGATTGTCAACTTGTTGACAGGTCAAATGCTAAAATCTGACAGTTTCATTCCTGGACCTTGTACTGATGTGACGAGGGTCATTTTTCTTTTTTTTAAATTTTAATAACAAGTGTCACTACAGAGAAAACAATGTGAGTAAATAAATGTTTGCCCTTGTCCAGTACATGTAATCTGTTTAGTACCTATCATACTTCTTTTGACCTAAAACACCACTTTTTACACCCCCATAATTCACAATAGTTGTGGGCAAAAGACATAATTTTCGTACTTTGACCTAGTAGAAAATTTTATATACAACTTGCTTTCATTGATAACTAAACAAAAATAGCCAATGACAATTCTGATTTTTTTCTTGTTTACTCACAATTTATTACTATATTATGGAATTCTATCATTCATAAAATATATCCAAAGAATAATCTTTAGCCAGACATAACTCGGGCAAGCTTCTTGTGTAAATTAAAAAATATAAACGTGTTTCTGTTGTGCTGTCTGCTGCAGCTATGGCAATATGGCCCTTTTCTACCATGGACTTAACCAGACTGAACTTGCTCTTCGCCACATGTCCCGAGCACTACTACTACTTAACTTGTCATCTGGTCCAGATCACCCAGATGTTGCAGCAACCTTTATAAATGTTGCAATGATGTATCAAGATATTGGAAAGATGGAAATAGCACTTCGTTATTTGCAAGAAGCCTTGAAAAAGAACGAGAGACTCCTGGGTGAAGAACATATTCAAACTGCTGTGTGCTATCATGCTTTGGCCATTGCATTCAACTGCATGGGTGCTTTTAAGCTTTCTCACCAGGCATGTGTGCTGCAGTTTTCCTGTAATCTTTTTATAGTTTTAGAAACTTTTATTTTATGATTTTTCTATTAAGTGACTGTATGAAGCTTCATTATGACAGAATGAAAAGAAGACTTATGATATACTTGTTAAACAACTTGGTGAGGAAGATCCTAGGACACGTGATTCTCAGAACTGGTTGAAAACATTTAAGATGCGGGAATTGCAGGTATAGATTCTAACTATAAATAAGATTCTCTTTTGTTGGGTTTACTCTTCATCATTCTTTTTCTTTTCTTCTTCTTCTTCTTCTTCTATTAATTGTCTGATCTATGGTGCTTTATGGCAGGTGAATGCGCAAAAGCAGAAGGGTCAAGCTTTGGATGCAGCTTCTGCTCTAAAGGCTATTGATATCCTGAAGGTACTTCTGAATCTGTATTCTTCTCTTCTTCTTTAAACAGGAAATCTGACTGCAGTAAGGTATAGTTTGGTTATATCTATAGAAGAATGGTATCCAATATTAATATCTGCTAATAACATTCAAGCAAATCGTTGAATCCAAATTATGTGTTTGCTGCGGCTGCTGTCTCCCGTCTAGTTTGCACTTCTGCTACCTGCTATATGCTAAAACTGGTTATAGAAAGGCTAAAAGCTTTGCCACAAATCAATATGCTAGGTACTGGGATGTGCAACCAGTACAAACAATTGTATATAATTGGGAGTAATAAATGCCTATCATCTCGTTCTAGTTGGAATATATTTAGACTTTATTTTTTTCGACATTATAAGCAATCATTTCTAGTCTTCCACACTTCTGCTTTGTGTATTCTATTTAATGCTTTGTTTATCTTCCACATATTAAGGTCACAATATTTATCTAGGGCTTTTGGGGTTCTTAATTTTAATGTATTCAGCTTTGAGTGCTCTAACGCAGGGTTAGGATTTCATTCGAGTTCAATTTTGCTTCACAGGCCAATCCAGAACTAGCACATGCATTTCAAGCTGCTGCAGCAGCTGGAGGTTCTGGAAATTCGGGTAACAAATCACTTAATGCAGCAATAATGGGAGAGGGACTTCTGCGAGGCAGGGGAGTTGATGAAAGGGCAGCCCGAGCTGCTGCAGAGGCGAGGAAGAAAGCTGCTGCAAGGGGCCTCTTAATCCGCCCACATGGAGTTCCTGTTCAGGCACTACAGCCGCTGACTCAGCTCCTGAACATGATTAACTCAGGGATGATCCCTGATGCTGCCAAAAATACGGAAGCTGATGTTTCAAGGAAAGATGCTAACGGTCACGCTTTAAGTGGACCGGGAGAGACCAGAGAGGACAATTCCGAAGAAAGGCAACAAGATCAGGCCCCTGTTGGATTAGGCACAGGCTTGATTGCATTAGATGCTAAGAAGCCTAAATCGAAGTCTAAAGCCTTATCCTAATACTGAAGCAAATTCCAAGGCTTAGTTTGGAAAACTGAAACATACCCGTTAATCCTATTACCGTAAATTCTTGAAATAATTAATTTTTCATAGAAATGTGACTTGGATAAGGGCACTCCCTCTCAATTTTTTTCAGTGGAAAGAGAGGTCCACGTGTTACTTGGTTACCAGCTTGGAAATAAGCAGTTGGCAAATGTAAAATTGAAATTTTGAGGCCGTTTTCTACCCACCTCAACGTTTTACTTGTAAAAATATTTTGTAGTTCTCAGAAGAATTAAGCTATTTTTCTTTTTCTTTTCTTTTTACGGAAGATCCCATCTCCAGGTTTTCCCCCATTTTCTGAGCTTCTCTGTAGTTACTCTTGCTGGTGTGATAGTTTATAGTATGGATGTAGTTAATCTTTGCAGGTGTGATCGTTTATAATGTGGACGTCCACCTGAGACTGCCTAAATTCACTGGAGATAAGTTGATTAACAAGGGACTTCATTTTGCATATATATTTGATGAATGGGGTTGCAAATAAACATGAGATTGATACGAGGCTCCATTGAACTTTCTTCATTTTTGTTAAATTTTTCTTTCCAGGTTTTTTGCTTTCCCGGCTTCCTAGCTCATTGACTGGTTAATTAGAATGAATTACAAAGGTTTTCATTAATATAATTATATCTTCTTCCAGGGCTTGAATGTCCCTGCAATTTTTTTTTTATAAAAATCCTGAAAATACTTCTGATAATTGGCGTTTGCATTATTGAAAGGGGGATGCTTTGTCACTAATCTTGTCTTGAGGGATCATAGGTTGAATCTGTTAATCTTTGTTGATTTTCTTAAAAACATTGGGTTCTAGCCGACAGGATCACTTCCACACGAGGATTCTATGGTCTGTGTTTAGTTGGGGATGCTGGGATGACATTTCGGGTACTTCCATTTCGTGCTTCATACTGTTGATTCTTATTTTGTTGTGTGTGGAAATGGGGATGAATAGGAGCGGGAGGAATTCACTTCATAACTTAAATAACAATGATTCCCATCTCTACTTCTCATATATATATATAATCATAAATAAAGCAAACATATTATTAAGTGATTCTTCACTTCAAAGTGAATAGGAGTTACGCCCACCTTTATGTCTATGTTTGCGTTCGCAGTAGAGAAGCTTTGGCTCGAGTCATGGGGCTCAATGCACTTGCTTGTGGTGAGTGACTGAAGTATTACCAGTGGCAATTTCATAAGGACATTGAAATTGTCTTTAAAGCATCTCTTTTTTCCTGAATCTTTTCATAATTAAGAACATGCAACCTAAGAGAGTATACTAACTGAAAAAATGAATAGTTAATTGTGATATTTTATCCTACGAATTTGTGACTTAACGAGGATGTTAAGTGTTTAAGTGAGAAAGATTATGATATTTTATTTTATATCGATTTTTGAGAGTGATGTAATATAATATATAAGAGATTGCAGACTAATACTAGACAATTTGAATTTAAATAGTTTGAACCAGTGGTTCATGCTCAATGTTATGACCCCATTTTAACTTATTTTTTGAATTTATACATTTAATTAAGATTAGGGGCCTAATTATGAAAATTAAAAGTTTTGAGGGTCAAATTGTAATTCGAGAAGGCTAGATTGTAGAAATTTCAAGTCTGGGGGGCCGATTTGAGAAATCAGAAAAGATTAGGGTTAATTGAAACATTCAGGGATCAAATTGAAGAAATTAAAAGAAGTAGGGACTCAATTGGAAGCTGGAGGGGTGAAATTGAAGAGAATTAAAGTTTGGGAGATTAGATCTTGAACAAAACTTGCAGGTTTAGTCAACAGTGGACTGAACATTGTGCAGGCCATCTTGTAATCAGTTTAGCTGATTTTGGGTTGAAAAACTAGGTTGTTGTGTACGAGACTAGTCAAGTTACATTTGTCCTTAATCAATTGTGAGTTCTAGAGAGAGATTGGAGAGAAATTTGGGTTTGCTTGGCCGATGGTGTTCACGGAGGATTGGAGTGATTTTTCTAGTTTTGAGGGTTGTTTGACTAGTTTTGCTTTGATTGAAGCTCACCGGTTAGTTCATCTGGTTCATCCCATAATTTTTTGTCTTGTTTGATCTCGAGGTAAGCCCTTTAAACCGAGTTTTTTTTTGAGTTTTTTTTGGTTTTAGGTCGTTGCAAGAGTTTTGGTTTGCAATTGGGTTGGGAGGAAACAGGTTTCGAGTCAAGAAGATGGACCTGAATGGATCTGAGTCCTTGCCAAGTCAACCCAACTAAGTTGACTCGACTCACCGAGTCAACTCAGCTAGGTTGGGCCCGGGTCGTGTTGGCCCAAGTGGGTTGGCTCGATTAGGCTTGGGCTGCGGTTGGGTTGGCCCAATTGACAGAATTAGTGGGTTGACTTAGCTAGTCAACTTGGTCAATTGAATTGGAATATGCTATCTTAGCGATAGAATAAAAGGAAAAATTAGAATTAAATAACCAAAACCGGGATAGGCTAATTTTGGTTGACTAAATCGGCCCAATGCTGGTTTAGAGTTTGAACGACTGATTCAGGGGTCTTTTCAATCAGATTTGGAAAGTTGAACCGGTTTCCGATCCAGCAGGATGAGATCTTTTGTACCTAGTCGATCTGGGGGTTCGAGGGCGGCCGGTTTGGCTGGAAATTGAGCATTTTTGGTTGAACTGGCTTGATTTTAGGGTTTTGGGGCAGGTTCAGCCTTGTTTTGGGTTGTTCTTGGCCGACTTAGTCTAGTTTGTAGGGTTTTGAAGCTGGTTCAATCTAATTTTGAGGTGTTTATGGCCGGTTTAAGCCGGTTTAGGGGAGTTTGAGGCTAGTTCAAGCGGGTTCAAGAGTTTTGGAGACTGGTTCAGTGCGGTTTAAGGGTTTTTAAGGGACTTGGATGTATGTTCTTGAATCGTACGGTTTCTACATGTTGGAAAATGAGTATTGAGATGTATGCATAGGCCCAGAATGGGATTTGAGCTTGGTCTGGGTGGTTGAATCCTTTCTTGTGTCAGTTTGAGTGTGAGTTTTGATTATGTGTGTTGTTGTGATTGTAGATTCATCGGCTAAGATATAAGGTGATTGTTGAGTTGGGGCGGCAACTTGGGTTTGGTTCGGTTTTGACTGTGAGTGATGATACATTTTTTATACATGTGTTTATTACTGTATTTTGACATGGACTATAATTTTGATCCATATAGTATTTTGATTACATGCAAAATTATTTGGATATATATTGATATGTTTTGATATGTCAATGAGCATCTGTTATCACATGTTTTGACAGACTTATATTGATATATGAAATATATATGTGTATATGTGAAATGTTTTATAAATATATGGGGACAGTATCATATATGTGATTGGAGATTTAGGGGTTCAGTTGGAGTATGGTAATCCATAGCGTCCAATAGTGAGTACCCGAGTCTGGTACGAGGCGATCTTTTTTTTTTTTGTTAGGTCCAAGTTAAAGAGGAGCTATGAATGATAAACGTATGCAAATAATTATGACATTAGTAGAATTATTCTGTCTCTAACAACCTTGGTAGAATTGATAATCTCTGAAATTATCATCTCCAGGACAACGACTAGAGCTTTGAATAATGTCCTTTTAAATCAGAGGTATATTTTGATGAACTATTGGCAATAAAAATCAAGAAGCCATCGGTTGGGTGCTTCTTGACAACTGCCTCGAATATCAAAGACAAAATTTCGAGAAAAAAGAAAAATAAATAAGTAATAAATTTATTATTATATGCTAAAATCTCCATTATGGTAATATAATTTTTCTGTATTTCGGGTTGAATCTATAAGAAAACAATGTCTAATTTTTTTTAATATTGTCACTAAATCAAATCAATTACTTTGGATTGATTTTTTAAATTTGAATTTTCTCCTCTCATTTTTATTATTTTCCAATGCCCCCGCCCATCGGACAGGTTTCCCATTAGTATCAAGTAAGAAGCCATCCATTGGGTGACTGTCGTGCAGCTGTTTGGCGTATCAAAACACAACATTTCTGGGTTTTATTTTACTTTTTTCCAAAAAGATTAGAGTAATTTATTTTGAGAGAAAAAATAGATATTACATGCCACTGTAATTATACAAATTATTGCATTCTATCGTCTTAATGTGGAATACTAAATTTTAATGGCACGAACATCATATTAAATATCACATAGAACAGGGTGAAGGAAGAATTGAGTTATAAGAAATGTGTATTTTTTTAGGAGAGAGTAATGGTTCTGTAACAACATCGTTTTAGGTTGAAATTCATTATACAAAGATAAGAATAGGAATTTTTTTTTTGAATTAAAAACACTAAGTAATTTAAAATAAATTAATCCACGTACTTGACACACAGGAATACATCACACAAATTCACATTACTGTATTACAAAGATGAAAAATGGTCCAGCAAATACATAGCTTGTGATGGTCTGTCAAACCAATCACACATATCACAATAAATATTCTTACATGCAAATTCAATCCAACCAAGCAAACATTGTTCTTGTTTTTATAACAATCTTAGGGGATGTGGCGTTTCAAATGTTTCCCATTTATTCCCAAACACCCAAGCCTTCAATATTTCACATAACAATAATACAGATAACACTTCAACAGTTTATAGAGGTTGATCTTAGAGGGCAAACGGGTACTTAGCGACGGAAGCTTCTAACCTGGCGCGGCGGATCGCCTTCCCCATCTCGGAGCTTCACGACGGTGTAGATAGCCGCTCCTGCCACGGCCCCCAGAGTCGGCGCCACCAAGTATATCCACAACGACTTGTAGTTTCCTGCTGCAACGGCCGGTCCTAGGGTCCTCACCGGATTCATCGAACCACCGCTAGTGTTCCTGCAAGAATGCTCACAATATGTTAATTAATTTTGTCAGGAAACTCATTATTTATGGGCTTCGTTTTTTCGTTTTCCTAGTGATGTGGTCTTAGAATAACTTTAAGCAACTTTCTTTCAAATATAAGTTGAAATTACTTTATAATCATAGCAAATATGGGATACTCTTCCATGCAAAGATGAACTAATAAAATAATATGGGATATCAAGTAAGATGTTTTTGTTATTTATAAAAATAAAAATATATATATATATAAATTTAATGTAACAAAAATATATTCATCACATTATCTATATGTAATAATTATTAAAATTAATAAATAATAGTTTTATGAACCAACAAATGATAATAAAAAAAATTACACAAGTGTACACGGGGTATGCAAATTTATCACAATTTTGATCGTCCATAGACCAAGGAAAATTTTATGTCCCAAGATGCACAACTTTAAATATATTTAGACGAAATATAAAGAAAAAATAAATTACAATTCTTTCTTTCTTTCTTTCAGCAAAGGGATTTTTTTTATATATAAATACGTAATTTTGAATATTTTATTAGTTAGAAGTTAATAGTTTATCGTATTTATTAATTTTATGCGGAAGATATTCAATTTTTTCCAATGTGATACAAAAAAATTTCTCTCCATTCGTGAGAGTTTGTTGATGCCCTTAATTTGTGGCCATTGGACAGTTGAGTTCCTTGCAGTACGTTCCCAAATTCCTCTCGTTATCCAAAAGGAATTTACTGTGGGGCAGTATCCCATCGTGGACAATTTTTTTTTTTTTTTTTGGTGGACAAATTGTTGACTTGGAAGATTTGCCCAGCCTGATCAAGGAGGCCTGGGCCGTGCTAGGCCTGTTTTCCAGGCCCGACCCGAGGCACGGCCCAAACCCGTCTGGCCCCTTCCCCATCATATGAAATCTTCTTATTCTACGTCATTTTGCTTCACCATTAATGGGTAAATTATCCGATCAAACCAAAGGGTAAATCACACTTATACTCCATCTACTTTTATTAAAGAGTTTGTTTACTCTTTGAAATTTTAATTATGGCAAATTTAAAATTTGCAATTTCGTACTTCCGTTAATAATCTAATTACTTCCATTCATATGTTACTCAAATAATCTAATGACTTCGAACTTACTCAAATGACTCCCAACCCCTTCTGGGAAAATTGACATTACTAGTTGACTAAAAACATATTAGAGTCTAGATTGTTAAGAATGGCAGGACCAAATTGAACAAGATAAACGTGGAAGGGTGTAAGTGTAATTAACCCTCTAATAGACTTCTCAACGTTACTGTGTGATCATGGGCTAACTAATTTATACTTCACTATGCATTTCTTATTTCAAGTGATCAAATCTACCCAGAGGATATGCTTGACACTTGTGACTACAAAATTAATTCCTATGCAATTAATATTTCAAGCTATAATATTTATTTCTTTTTCTTAATTTGCCACCACCTTTATTTGGGGTTGGGAGTTGGGCTGCAATTTTTATCTATTCTATGTGATCTTAGATCAATACTTTTTAAGGAATTAAAAAGTATTGGTCGAAATAGTTAGTGATCTCTATTTCGACAAGGATGAGAACACAAATTCGATTCTCTTGAAAGCGCACTTATTAGAAAGAGTTTTAACTTTTCATTCTTCTAATTTAAAAAAAATTAATCTCATGTCAAAATTATCTTAAAATACTTCTAATTTTATTGAAAAAAAAAGATTGACCCCCTTGGGGCGGTGGCAGATGGACAAAATTAAAGTATCAAGTAGCAGCCCTAACAACCCATTGGTCACAATTCGTACTATGAGGTAGTTAATTCTTCTACCATTTTCTAAAAGAAGATATACCTATGTGCGGCTTTGAGGACAGGATGATGAACAAGTTGAAGTCAAAGAAGATATTAGGTACATTATTGGATTAAGTATATTGTTAAGATGAGCGTAAGCAATCAAACTTGGTTGGACAGAGACAATCGGGATATTCACAAGTTAAACAAGACAAAAACTACAAGTAATCAATTATCCAAGTGATAAGGACGCAAAATACAATTAGTTTTGCCCTGTTAATTCTAAGTTTATAATATTCTAAAATTTATTTCTCCGTGAATAATGTTCTTTTACTACAAAGTTTTTTTTTTCTTTTACTGTTATAAATAAAAGTAATATAAACGTTCTGATATACATATTTTAATCATTCAAATTGAATTAACTCGAGATCTTAAGTGTCATAATATAATAATTTTGGGACAAAGTGAAACTACCGATAAAATATAAGAATGTTAATTTAATCTATCTCACGTTTCCCCCTTTCTAATGCGAAAAGGAGCACACTAAAATGGCAAGGTGTAATTTTATCAAACTTCGGTGGCAATTTCTTGCTATTGAGAGAACTGGCGGTGGATGCATGTTGGCATTCGTCATCAATTTTAGGAAATATGATTGGTTTACAACAAAGAGTGGTAAACTATTGAGAGGTGGCCGGGCAGAAAAAATAAATAATAGCAAGAAGAAAAATAAGTAAAAAGAGGAGAGACGAAGGGAAAGGAGGACCACTAACCCGGCCACTAAAATATTGAGCATCACTGTTGCTCCAACTGCTATTCCCGCCAACTCCCCGACCTGTCACAATCACATCATCCACCCTCAGAAAGATAACTCATTATCCGAATTAAATCGAATACAGATTTTTTTTAAAGGACATATTTCTTAACAATTCAAGAACAAAAATTAGACGTGTTAATACAATATATAATAATCAAAAAGCCTCGGTAGTTGACAAATTTTTAGATTTTTTTTTCAAAATGGGCATAAATTGATATTCTTTAAATTTAATAAAACCGAATCATAAATTTATATTTTTAATATAACTTTGACAAATTTCATAAAGCTTTATTCTAGAAGGTAGATGACGTCAAATTATTTTTATAAAAATTTGTGAGAGAAATTATTATATTTACTTTGTCTTCAAATACTTCTTTACAAAGTTATTACAAAAAAAATTTTTATTATGATTTTTATAATGAGATGAAGTTTACACGTATATGTCAACTTTACCCTATTATGAAAAAGATTTTACAGAGGGTAAAATAAATTCTTACCCTCGTTGAACTTATTTTAATATTTCTAAAAGGAATCAAAGATGAAATATTTCTTTTATTCTTTCAACGGGAGTAAATAGAAAATTATTTTGTATTTACCGCTCGGGTATCTGTAGCAACGGCCGTGACAACAAACAGTAGATTAAAAGTGATGAGGAACTCGATGGCGAAGGCCTGGCCGGTGCCAACGGAGGGGACGGTGACGCCTCCGGCCATGAAGGGATGGAAGACGCCCTTGAGGGCGAATGATGCGCAGATGGAGGCCGAGACCTGGGCGCATTGTTGGCAATTTCAGACACAAATGCAAGATAATTGACAATATACTGACGCGAAAGGGGAAATCATGTGATACAAATTTGATCCCATTCGCCTTTATTTATTTATTTTTTAATTATTTTGTGCTGTCAGTGTCATTTTTATTTTTTAAAATAGAAAAACTGAAAATTTGAAGACTTGTATTATTTTTATTTTTGAGCACAAACAGTTTCTAAAAACTCTGAAAATAATTTTCCCCCAAGAGTTGTTTTGAAAACAATCAAATGAGTTTTTTATTTCTGAAAACAAATGGCTGCTTTAAGAAACAAATCCAAATTGCCCCAATCGTTGATAACTATTGTAAGATTTTCAGTTGCTATTTTCATTTTATGTTTTCAAAAATAGAATATAATGAGAGACTTGAAACTCAATTATTTCAGTATTATTTTAATTTTCAGGAAAAGATATTTTTTAATAGTTCTGAAAATAAATTTTTTTATTTGCTAAGAATCTTATTTTATATGTAAAAAAATAGTTTTCAAGAATATCCTGCCCCAACAAGTTTCCTGTTTCCAAAGCAACATTTATATGTACAAATAAATGCAAGATTTTATATGTTTAATGTGAATACGGATTGGACAAACCATAAATAGGACAAATAGACGATTCTACCTGGGCGGCAATGTAGGCGGGGACTTGGACCCAGGGGAAGTGGCGGAGCGCAGCGAAGGCGATGGTGAGGGAAGGGTTAAGGTGGGCGCCGGAGATGTGGCCAGTGGAGAGGATCACGATCATTACTGCTAATCCGGCACATGCGGCGTTGCCGATGAGGGTTTCGGCTCCGTTATACTTCTGGTTGACAATGGGCCCGGCAGTCGCGGCGAAGATCAGGATGAACGTGCCCACGAACTCTGCTCCCAGCTACGTCCCCATAATACTATCAGTTAAATTCTCACAGCGGAAAATTTTGACAGCTAAAAACTTAATAGCTATAAAGTTACATTTATTTTGAGCTATATTGTTAAAAAAATACATTAAATTTTTTTATTTGTAATCCTAATAATAAATAAATCAACGTTACACTTGTCGAATTCATGAATCAACTAGATATAAAAAAATGTAAAGAGTTTCAATGCGTGGCACAATTATTTTTTTAGTCAAATAAAAAATTAGAAGTTCACCTTAAATATAATTAGTAAGGAGGAAATTATTTATTAATTAACGTAAAATATAATTAAAGGAGTGACGAAAAATTAGCGCAACCTAATTAGTGCACTGGTTAACTTTGGGTACAATGACTAAGTTATATTTCGTCTACGAAAGCTCTCTACCATGAGTGACCCATGGACAACCAGACAAAGTCTATGAATTTTGAGTTTGAACTGTCTCGAATTCAAGTTACAAAAGTTTAAATTCTAACCATATTTAATCAAACGGGTTAGGTCGACTTGGAAAATTTGTAACAACTTTTCGCCGGCAATTAATGTGAAGACGTTCCACAAAGTCAAAATGGGGGGCGCTTTTGAAGACCTTCCCAGTGAAGAGAGGGCAAAGGTTATTAACTGTAACTCATCATCTTAGGTTCTATTGGCTGTGAATTCTAATTCTACGGTTAACTGTGAGTTCTAATTCTATGATTCACGGTGATTCCTTGTACTCGGTTGCAAGCATCATTAAATAAATTTCACATAAAATAATTAGCTTAATATTAAATTAATCAATCCTTTCTCTAAAGAGATATCAAATAAGTTAACTTAGATTATTCTTGTCCATTGTCATTTAGGCAGGAAGATGAATATCAAGAACACGTGGATTAAACAAGATTATATACAAAATCAAACTCATGCCAACTAAAATCCAAGTAAAATAATTGTTCAATTTTTTATTATGGTATATAAAAGTGTGGGTCCCACCTTTGTGGGTGGGTAAGAAAATTCGGTAATATTTTCTAATAAATGGGAAATTACCCTTTTTTTAATTCTTTTGTTAATGATTTTCTGCATTTTCCATTCCTAGAATTGATTATTTATAAACACAACAAAGAGAAAGGAAAAAGAGTGCAACTAATTTTTAATTGCGACAAGATTAGATGACTCGAGACAACGTAATGATCATATATTTAATTGAAGAAATAAACATAACAGATTTGTAGTTTTGCACAATACCATTTGTATAATTTCTTTTGTAAGAAATTTTTAGAGGAAAAGAGATAATCACAAGGGCGGGAATTTAGCAGTCAACAGAATCAGAATGCAGAGTAAACGGGAGAGAAAAAGAGAGAGATACCTTCCTAGTGAGGGAGACGTCGGGGGCAGGAAAATCAGTGAAGCACGTGGGAGGAGCACCAAATGAGGCAGCCTCGAACGGCAAGCACTTGCATCGGGGCATTGACTTGCGATCCCGATCGTATGACAGCGAGTCGATCCTCAGCGACGTAAAAAGTGGCGCCGGCGTCCCCGGTGTAGCCGGCGCTGACGCTACTGGCGTCCCTGTCTCCGAATCCGGCATCACTTCTCCGATGATATTCTTTGCTTCTCTCTTTCTTTTTTTTGATTTTTTGTTTTTTTTATGTTTTTTTGAAGGAATTAGCTAGATGGTGATAATGAAAGGAAAAGCTTACATAATTTTGAGGTTTTTATAAAGTTGCCGCTACACGATGGATTGATCCACGGTGAGATCGATAGTTGCTAGCTAGCGACGGTGAAGAATCCTAGCGCATAATTACGAATTGAGATCTAGAAAACAGAGAATTTGTTTTGGGTTTTTTTTGGGCTTCGGAAGTAAAGAGAGCGAAACTTACATGATTCACAGGCTTTTATAAAGCTGGGCCTAAGGAATAGAGGAAATGAAGAGAGCCAGCTTAGGAACTACGATGGAAGGAAGAAATCGTATCAGTTGTAGTTCATGATATTCACAATGCTCTCAAGAAACAGAGAGAATCGGTGAATCCAGTTTCAGGGCGAGAAAGAGAACTAATGGCTGATTGAGAGCAGAGATGAGAAGCGATGGAATGGAGAGAGCGAGGAGGAAGAACAGAATGGTTCAAGGTGTGCGTAAGCGGTGATGGAGTGGTAAGTTGAGTTTATATAGAAAAAAAGTTTTTTCATTCAATTAGAAAATAGAAAAAGGAGGGGAGGCTAACCGACGGTAAAGAGAAAGTCAATGAGCTAGGCGCATCACATCGTCGCCCTCTGTCACAGTTTTCAATCTGCTGTGCAAATAATGCATTTAGGACACGGGCTTTTCCGTGTTTTTTGTCCTCCACTCTTTTCTTTTTTCTGGGCACCATTTATTAGAACCAAACAAATTAAGGGATCGATTCAGTCGTCGTCTCATAAATTCTACTGATTTTACAATTAAACCCAAATATTTTTACCATATATTATAAATATTATATCATCTTTTATCTAATTCATCAACACCCTTGCTCCAAAACACTCTTAGTAGAGATGCAATGTTCACCTCTTAAAATTTTACAATTTTACTTTTTCTCTAGTTTGTTTTAGAGTTGTACAATTTATTTGATACTAACTCTTAATCTATTAAGTCAAAAATTAAAATATCTGTTAAATTAATATCAAAATCAATATTTAATATTGATTCAATAGTTATTAAAACTGTTGACTTACTAGATTAGAATATAATATTAAATACAATCTCAAAAATTAATACAAGAATTAGTTTATGGTTCAATCATTGGGTATTCAATTGGTTAAATTCAATTTTAATAGCTATAAATGTAAGTTTATGGTTCAACCAATTGGGTATTCAATTGGTTTAATTCAATTTTAATAGCTATAAATATAAGTAGTGTAATGATCAGTATTGAGTACCTTAATTAATTTTAAATTTGGATTGATATTGTAATATTTTACGGTTGCCCCATTTTTTTTTAAATGTTTGAATTACATACATGTTGATATCTTCTTTAAAACTATTACTCTTGGAGTTAAATAAAGTTTAATTAGATGCATGATATCTCATTTCATTATTTTTTACGTTTAGAAGGGACAAAACAAATAATTAATATATTGGGGAAAAGAGTGACACAATTTTACAAATAAATAATGCAATTGCTAAACCAACATCAAGAGCAACAAAAATACAACGGGCATTTCATGCTTGGGTGGGGTTTAAAATAAATAATTTTTGCCGATAAATTTTTTTATCAAAGTAAGCTAGAAACCGTTTTTACAATTTTGGCCCTACAAAGAAATTGGTTTGTCAAAAAAGTGTCAGATCTAAGGGTGTCTAATTTCTCAAGAAAATCAGATTTTTTCAAATTTATAAAGAATTAAAATTACAGTTTATTTTTTGAGGTAAAGTTTTAATTTAAAATTTTAAAATAATTAAAATTTAATGCTCTCTAATTTGTAACAAAGATGGCTTAAAACTCTGAATAAAAAATTTTAAATTTCAACCGAGAGAATTTTGCTTATTCAAATCCTAGATATAAAAATATTATTCTCATCACTCATATGAAAATATCATATGTATACAGTAGAGAAATGTATTTTATTTTTTTAAATAAAAAATATTTAATGAGAAAAGTCCAAGCAACGAAGAATTTCTCGACTTCCAAACGCTGTTTTGGGGATACGGACCACGAGAGAAGATTAATAATTGGTAGTTCTAATTGCAGGAAATTTGTCTAATTAACGGCACGATAATACTAAACTTATCCACAACCTTGTTAATGGTGAACTTAGGGTAACACAAACAGAAATAAGTTATCTTCGTTCAATGTGTTATCTTATTAATGTATCAAGTTATTAACTGCCACAATATTGTGACCACCGACATCTTAATTAGCAATTAAAATTATAAACTTTTAATTTAATTTACTTCTTGGTTTAGATTTATGAGGGCTTCTAAAACTTATGGCATTACTTTATTTAGCCAGCTAATTAAAAAATAAATAAATAACAAAAATTCAATATTATATACAATTTTTCTGGATAATATCCATAAATTGACAAATTTAACGGAATCCGTTAATTCAATTATTGAAAGCTCCTGACATCCCTATCCTCCATTGTTCTTACCAGCAACATGCTATAGAGTGGCCCGTGAACTAGGTGTTTCTTTTTTGTATTTTTCTTCGTAATTTTGAAAAATACAAAACAAAATTATGATGCACGCTCGTAAATTAATTGTATAATTTTAAATAATAACATATTTTATAAATTAAATGTACATAAGGCTTCGTTCTTTAAAAAAATTTAATTTTTAACATTATATTCTCTCAAACACATTCCTCTAGTAATAGTTCATTCATAATATTTTTTATTCAGTTAATAATATAGTGAAATATTTATTAAAAATTTTACTTTTAAATATTATAAATGTCTTTTACTGATATAAATGTTTCAAGAGAATGGATATAAAATATTTTTTGATTTGAAAAGATTCAATAAAGTTTGAAAATGAAAACTTTTAGTTAGTATTGGAATTCGAGAATTTGCATTGAAAATTTGTTATTCACTGTGAATTTCATCAAAACTCCACCTAAAAACATTTATAGGAATCTTTTTTTTGATCAAAAGTTGTGTGTATTCATTTTCTCTAACTTTATATACTTAAAGGGTATTTTGACCCTTTAAAAGTAAAATTTTTGATGGTTATTTCAACATAATATAAATAAAAGAGGTAAATGTTTTAAATTAAATATTTGTTGATGGAAATGTTTATATATTTAACCTTATAAAAAGCATAATATTAAAATTTAAATTTTTTATAGAATAAAACACTATTTGTCCCAAAATTAAAACAACCAGAATAGCAAATTCAAAGGTTAAAAAAATGATTTTAGCCCTTGATAAAAAATGAAAAAAATCAAAATCCCCTTAAACCACCACATGACCCGATCCGTTTAAAGCCAGTGCTGTTATTTGCGAAAGGCAAATGTTAGTACACGCAAACATACCCAATCAAAGAGTACTAAGTAAAAATATTAATAATATATGAATAAAAAAAACCTTGGCAGGAGACATGAAATTACTAAAAAATCCACCCAATGTACGGTTCAATTTTTTAATAAAATAACTCAGGCATGACGCCTCACTTTCCATATTTTTATATTGTTCCACCTCCCGTCCAATAATGCATCAAACAAACACACATCAATTTTAAAAATAATTTCTTATGAAAAGAATTCCATAAACGCGTCAACGCACATCTTTCAATACTTCCATGAACCTGGCCATGAAACTTCTTCAAATTACATACATAAAAGTCGAAAGTCAGAAAAAGCCGCAAAGAAATAAGCTCGTGCCCGTGTCCAATGTTTGCCCTATCACTTACCACCGTCTAAGTCGAAAATATTTTTTAGGTTAACTTTAATTTCTTTTATTAATTATTCTTTCTTTTCCCTCGAATTTAGGAAAAAAAAACAATTCATCACGTTTACATCTTGACCTGACCTAAAAATTATAGACCGTAAAAAATATTTATAATTATTTTAATAAATATATTTACTTTAAATAATTTATATATAAACACTCTAATGCATGTTGGAATTTTTAAATTCAATTAAGAAGATAATGTAAGAATATAAAATGATTGAGCGGCCACGGCGTGCTTTCGAAAGTCGAAAGCCACTTGATAACAAATTAATGGACTCTGCCATGGTTTCAAAATTTTAGTATTTCAATTGGAAGATATACTCTATATTTTTATTAACTTTTATTTATAAAAAAATTGTACTTTATATATATATATATATTTATATTACGTGGTGAGTGAGGATCCGGGTTTCTAATAGTTTGACCTGAAAGCATGTGTACTCACTCCAATAAAATGCTTTATTTATTTATTTTAAAACATGCCAGCATTGGACCATGTTTGGACGTCAAAATAAATTTTTAATTATTATTATATTCATTATTATTTTATTTAGGATTTAGATTCAATAGCCAGAATAATAATTTATCAACACAAAAATAAGTTATTCATAATGAAAATGTTATGTTGTGAATGAATTAATAAAAATAACTTAAAGTACAAAATTTCTCAATGCATGTGATGAATAATGTCATTTTTACAGTTGCAATTGCGATGGTAAAATTAATTTTAAGTTTCAAATGCTTGCAACTTCTAAATCCAATTCAGAAAAGAGCAAATAAAAAAAGGAACTTTTTGAAATAACCCCAAGTTTTCTACCGCTGTAAAAAAGAAGAAAAGTTCTTAGAAATTACCTAAAAATCGTTTCTGCTTTCCAAAATGCAAATCGTAATTATCTTTATCCTCAGAGGTACCTTCTCATTCCTTGGAATTTAAATAAAGCAACAAAATAACAAGTATTTTTGTGAACTTTAAGAATTGACAAGAGTGGCTTCTCTCTATATTACTTTTTAATTACCCATAATTACTGCTTTTTATTATCTTTTTTTATTAATTCCTCCCAATTGTGGCGAAAACCATCCTGTATTCCTAAGCGCAAATTCATTTTTGATTAGTTGATTTTTTTAAAATAATTATTTATTATTTAATGCCTTAAGAAACACTTG